CTCACTCTGAAACCTCCCTGCTCATCCGCAATCCTACATTCTGTCTTACCTCTAATTCTTTCAATTATAACCCTACTGTATACTTTTCCTGGTATACTCAGTAAACTTATTCCTCTATAATTTTTACAATCTCTTTTGTCCCCTTTCCCTTTATATAAAGGGACTATACATGCTCTCCGCTAATCCCTAGGTACCTTCCCCTCTTTCATACATTTATTAAACAAAAATACCAACCACTCCAACACATATCCCCCCCTGCTTTTAACATTTCTGTCATGATCCCGTCAGTTCCAGCTGCTTTACCCCCTTTCTTTCTACGTAATGCCTCACGTACCTCCCCCACACTTACATTCTGCTCTTCTTCACTCCTAAAAGATGGTATACCTCCCTGGCCAGTGCATGAAATTACCGCCTCCCTTTCTTCCTCAACATTTAAAAGTTCCTCAAAATATTCTCGCCATCTACCTAATACCTCTCTCTCCCCATCTACTAACTCCCCTACTCTGTTTTTAACTGACAAATCCATACTTTCCCTAGGCTTTCTTAACTTGTGTAACTCACTCCAAAATTTTTTCTTATTTTCATTAAAATTTCTTGACAGTGCCTCTCCCACTCTATCATCTGCTCTCCTTTTGCACTCTCTTCACCTTTCTTTTACTCTCCATATACTCTGCTCTTCTTATAACACTTCTGTTTTGTAAAAGCCTCTCATAAGCTACCTTTTTCTCTTTTATCACACCCCTTACTTCATCATTCCACCAATCACTCCTCTTTCCTCCTGTCCCCACCCTCCTATAACCACAAACTTCTGCCCCACATTCTAATACTGCATTTTTAAAAATATTCCAACCCTCTTCAACCCCCCCACTACTCATCTTTGCACTAGCCCATCTTTCTGCCAATAGTCCCAAGTAATCAGCTATGCGCGTTTCCATGAATATCTCGGAAGTAAGTTATTGACCTATTTCATGTTGTATTACCAATAATAATGAATAGATTAAAAGGATTTTCACAGCAAACATGAAAGTAAATGTTTCAATTTCGGGTGGAGACATCTTGGAAGTATCAGTAAGGGGTGATTCCTCGATTAGCGATGAATTCGTTTACTGATATGGTCTTAGGAACAGAACTCTGTAGTAAGTGAGGAGAGGCTGTACAGTACACTATTGTATAAACATTTAAAAATATACTAAAAATGTTATAAATGGTGCAAAGGTGACATTAAACAATATCAAAGATGTTTGATACAAACCCACTACCATTATAGTACAGTGGACTCCCGCCGTTTGACTGCTGCAACTTTCGTGAAAACCGACTTTCAGCAAGTTTTTTCCGGCAAAATTTAGCTTCGCAGTTCGTGATTGGACTTGTGATTCAGTGACCGTCCAGTACGTGTCCGCCTGTCACCGTGCACACAAAGCCAGTCTCTCACACCATTCACACTCAGTGTGCCATTGTTTGCCAGCCCTTGGGTAAAGAAAGTGAGGAACATGATCGAATTCAAGAAGGAAATCATTTAAAAATATGAGAGCAGAGTGCATGTTACAGAACTTGCCATGATGTATGGCAAACCTCACTCAACCATCACTTCGATCATGGCGAAGGGAAAGGAAATAAAGTGAACTGCTGTTGCAGTCGATAATGTGTGAAAAGGCAAGGCAGTTGCATTACGATCTCATAAAGAAAATGCCAGCAACGAGTGGTGATGCTTGTGATTTCAAGGCCAGCAGAGGTTGGTTTGAGAGATTTAAAAAGTGTAGTGGCAAACACAGTGTAGTAAGGCATGGTGAGGCTGCCAGTTCTAACAAAAAAGCGGCTGAGAAGTTTGTACAGAAGTTTAAGGAGTACGTAGACACTGGAGAATTCAAACCCCAACAAGTGTTCAATTGTGACGAAACAGGCCTCTTTTGGAAGAAAATGCCAAAGAGGACCTATATCATGCAGAAGGAAATGGCATTCCCAGGACATAAGCCTATGAAAGACAGGCTAACTCTCATGTTTTGTAATGCAGTGGGGATTGCAAAGTGAAGCCTTTATTGGTGTATCGCTCTGAAAATCCCAGTGTGTTCAAGAAAAAGTGTTGCCAAGAGTAATTTGTGTGTGATGAGGAAGGCTAACAGTAAGGCATGGGTCACAAGGGAAATTTTCCTTGACTGGTTTAATGAAATGTTTGGCCCCACTGTGAAGAAATACCTCCTGGAAAATAAACTGCCACTCGAGCGCCTCCTGGAAATGGACAATGCTCCTGCTCATCCTCCAGACTTGGAAGAGCAAATGGTGGAGGACTTTACTTTCATCACTGTTAAGTTCTTGCCCCCTAATACAACTCCTCTCCTCCAGCCCATGGACCAGCAGGTCATTTCAAACTTCAAAAAACTGTACACCAAAGCAGTGTTTCAAAAGTGCTTTGAAGTGACCTCAGACACAGAATTGGCCCTAAGAGAGTTCTGAAAAGATCACTTGCATAAACCTTATAGGTAAGGCTTGGGAGAAAGTGACTTGCAGAACTTTGAATTCTGCTTGGAGAAAATTGTGGCCACAATGTGTACAAGAGAGGGATTTTGAAGGGTTTGGGGCTGACCCTAAGGAGCCTATGCCAGTTGTGGAAAGTATTGTGTCACTGCAGAATTCCATGGGGTTGGATGAGAGTTTCGAGGATGTGGAAGAGTTGCTGGAGGATCACAACAAAGAGCTAACCACTACAGAACTGCAAGACCTTCATTTGCAACAGCAACAGACCACAACTCAGGATATTGATTCAGAGGAGGAGGAAGAAAGATGGAGGAAGGTGCCTTCTTCAAAGATTAGTGATATCTGTGCAAAGTGGACTGAAGTGCAATTATTTATGGATGAACTTCACCCTGACAAAGCTGTTGCAGGCTGTGTTGGCAACATGTACAATGACAGTGTTGTGTCCCACTCCAGACAAATCTTAAAGAAACGACAGAAACAAAGCTCTATGGACAGATATTTTGTGTGACAGGGGTCCAGTGACTTTCAATTTGTTCCCAATGTCATTAAAAAACAAAGAAGGGAAGTAACACCAGATGAGGACTTGGTACCTGAAGTCTTTATGGAAGGGGATTTCCCTTCCAAACAATAGTGTACACCTTCCTCCTATCCTCTCCTCCTGTCTGCAATCCACCCAGAAGTCTTCAGTAAAGATAAGTGTAGGGAAAGGAAGGCAGGGTAGGGGTTGTCCTCAAAAAGGTTGGAGGGAGGGGGTAAAGGAGGTGTTGTGGGCGAGGGGTTTGGACTTCCAGCAAGCGTGCATGAGTGTGTTAGATAGGAGTGAATGGAGACAAATGATATTTGGGACCTGATGAGCTGTTGGAGTGTGAGCAGGGTAATATTTAGTGAAGGGATTCAGGGAAACCAGTTATTTTATATAACCGGACTTGAGTCCTGGAAATGGGAAGTACAATGCCTGCACTCTAAAGGAGGGTTTTGAGATATTGGCAGTTTGGAGGGATATATTGTGTATTTTTAAACGTATATACTTCTAAACTCTTGCATTCTGGGCACCTCTGCAAAAACAGTGATTATGTGTGAGTGAGGTGAAAGTGTTGAATGATGAATGATGATGAAAGTATTTTCTTTTTTGGGATTCGGTTTCTTTTTCGGTCACCCTGCCTTGGTGGAAGACAGCCGACTTGTTGAGAAAAAAAAAAAATTATGTACTTCATGGTAGTAGGCTGGTAGACAGCAACCACCCAGGGAGGTACTACCGTCCTGCCAAGTGAGTGTAAAACAGAATCCTGTAATTGTTTTACATGATGGTAAGATTGCTGGTGTCTTTTTTTGTCTCATAAACATGCAAGATTTCAGGTATGTCTTGCTACTTCTACTTACACTTAGGTCACACTACACATACATGTACAAGCATATATATACACCCCCCCCCCTGGGTTTTCTTCTATTTTCTTTCAAGTTCTTGTTCTTGTTTATTTCCTCTTATCTCCATGGAGAAGTGGAACAGAATTCTTCCTCCGTAAGCCATGCATGTTCTAAGAGGCGACTAAAATGCCAGGAGCAAGGGCCTAGTAACCCCTTCTCCTGTATAAATTACTAAATTTAAAAAGAGAAACTTTTGTTTTTCTTTTTGAGCCACCCTGCCTTGGTGGGATACAGCCAGTTTGTTGAAAAAAAAAATGTATGTACGTACTTGATTTCTCATTGTTTTCTGTACGTAAATCTTTAATTAATTTGAAAAAAAAAAATCATATTTTTGGGTGTCTGGAATGGATTAATTTTATTTTCATTATTTTTTATGGACAAAATGGTTTTGCCATTTGGCAATTTTGTCATTCAGCAGACACTCTTGAACTCTGGCAAAAATTGAACATTTCTGCTACTTTGAGCTCAATTTCAAGCTATTTTCAGTACTAAAACCAATCAAAACCATCTATATTTCTGTAATATATCTTCCATTCTTTCAAACAAGACCAAGAGACTGAAAATACAAAAGTAAAAACCATATGAAAATACACGGCAAAGTTACTGCTTTAATCGAAAAACACGGTCACAATTTTTTTCTCATTATGCATTGAATATTGCAGGATTTGTTTTGTATGGTGCACACTTACCATATAGATGCATTCTCTCATTTCTAAACCAAAATTTACTGCTCACAGCTTATATGAGTGAGCTGAGCTCATGATGTAGAACTATGGCACAGACCCTGGCTTCAAGGCCGCAGAACTACGGCACAGACTCTCAAAGGATTAGTGGTATTATATAATTGGAACAGAGCTTTCATGGTAATACCCCTTGCAACATGGGAAAAATGCAGATTGTTTTAAAAAATTAAAACAATAGTTATCTCCATAGAGAAGTGAAGAAAAATCCGTAAGTCATGCCTATTGTAAGAAGTGACTAAAATGCTGGGAGCAAAGGACTACTAACCCCTTCTCCAGTATGAATTATTAATTTAAAATGAAGAAAAACTTTACATTTCTTCTCTTTTGGGTCACCCTGCCCTGGTGGGGGATCACCGTTGTGTTAAAAAAGAAAAGCTATACAGTGTACCCTCCCTTGTCGTCTACCTCTGTTATAGCTGATTTCCGTTTTTGTCGACTTTTTTCGTCAAAATATTGGGTTCCGTTTTCATCGATTTCCTCCGTTTTCGTCGATGGTATGGAACCTGACCAGCACCCAGAGCGCACACAAAGCCACCTCCCACAGGCATTCTCAGGCGGTATCGTGTTGTTTCTCGGTGAGTGAACGTATCCTGCGAGGCCATACGAAGCATTTTGTAATAATCCATTGTTTTTATTTGTTTATTGTTTATTGCGTGTGACTGCTAAATAAGCCACCATGGGCCCAAAGAAAGCTTCTAGTGCCAGCCCTTTGGTAAAGAATGAGAAACATGATAGAATTCAAGAAAAAGTTTGTGGAAAAATACAAAAGTGGTGGTGGTAGAGGGTGGTAGTGATGGTGGTAGAGGGAGGTAGTGATGGTGGTAGAGGGAGGTAGTGATGGTGGTAGAGGGTGGTTAGTGGTGGTGGTAGAGGGTGGTAGTGATAGTGGTAGGGGTGGTAGTGGTTGTGATGGTGGAAGGTGGTAGTGATGTTAGTAGAGGGTGGTAGTGATAGTGGTAGAGGGTGGTAGTGGTTGTGATGGTGGAAGGTGGTAGTGATGTTAGTAGAGGGGGGAAGTAATGGAGATTTGTGCAATGTGGAGTAGGATGGAGAGATCTGTGGCATTAAAAAACAAAGAAGGGAAGTGACCCCAGATGAGGACTTGGTACCTAGAATCCTTATGGAGGTGGATTCCCCTTCTAAACAATAACCTCTCTTCCCTCTCCCCTCCTCCCTGTCTTCCATCCACCAACAACAGCCTTCAATAGAGGTAAGTGTCATGTTGAATGTTCATTCTTTTGTTCATGTAAATCTATTTTTAACCCCTAAACGGTCCAAACGTATATATACGTTCTTACCACTAGCACCTCAAATGTATATATACGTTTTATTTTTCCTGCCTCCAAATTTGGCACGATTGCCCTGAGATGCCTGGTCAGCAGAGAATGGGTCTTAACACTTGGTGTGCACCATATTAAAAAAATCTTGGACCACTTAGTACCTTGTGGGAGCGCCAGTAAAATGGAGTGCCAGCTAGAGCAAACTGTGCGGCAAACACCAAGGATTCACTGATGTAATGTTGTATTAACACTCCCCTTTTAAGAGGAAAGTGATGTTAACCCCAAGTTTAGGGTCTGTCTATTTGTATCTCTCTGTCTGTCTCTATCTCTTTTTATCTGTCCCACAGGTACACACAAATCCAATTTTACAGAGTAAATTACCTAGGATAACCTAAAAAATCTGAAGTGCTATACTGTGCTTGTAGATATAATGCATAAGAATACCTGTTGGTTCACAGTGGCTCTCTCTGAGACAGAGAGAGACAAGCAGAGAGACAGAAAGAGACAAGCAGACAGAGAGAGAGAGAAAATCAGAGACAGAGAAACGAGCTCATCAAATGTCACCCCTTATCTTATCTCTGCATCCTCGCTGGTGCCCATCATATGTCATCCCTTATCTCATCTTATCTCTGCACCCTCGATGGCACCCATCTTATCACCACCCTCCTGGATGCTTGTCACTGACACTTGTCTTACACATTGCTTCATGGGAACTTCTTCCTTCTTCTTCCTCTATACTCTAGTGTATCCAAAATATTGCTGGGACCTGTAAATACTTTGTATATATTCCTAGACAATAGTAAATGGCCAAGGCAGGTGTAAATGTCCAATTGTCAATGTGTTTGTGACACTTGGAGTACAATTTCAGTACCTAATATTAGTGTCAGAACAAAGATTGGTTATGAAATGACAAAAACTACAATAAATTGTAATTATCAGAATATAAAAATTACATAAAATATAAAAATGACAAAAAAAGGTATATTGGCAACATTTCTGCATGCATCAGGACTTGATGTTGTGGTCAGGTGAGCATTAAGTGCCAAATTTGCAGCCTCATATCTCGGTAATTAATGACCCTAATTTTTTTTTTTTATTTTAATCCTATAACACTTAGAAAATTTTTATCTTTAGGGGTTAAGGCAAAAAAATTTTTTTTTTGTTAATATTTCTGGGTGTCTAGAATGGATTAACTGGATTTACATTATTTCTTATGGGGAAAATGGTTTCAGTTTTCACCGATTTCCATTTTCGCCGATCTCTCTGGAACGGATTAAACACGAAAACTGAGGGTCACTGTATATGAGTTTACTGCAACTATACCCACTCACGAGGCCTATGGCCCATAGGATAGCTAGCCAACCTGGCCTTGCAGATGATCTTATCAACAGTGTACAGTAGGAAACACAATGCAAGGTTCACCAGACTATCTCCTTGAGTTCAATGAGGTATTGCACAGAAGGGTAGTAGACAATTTAGTATGCTTTTACAGTATTACATAAACAGTGGACCCTCAGTTAACGCTATCAGACAGCGATAAAATCGGATACCGATGCGTTTTTGAGTTAAAATACTGGCTCGGCTAACGATGAAAAACTCAAGTTAAGGGCATTCGTTCTAAATATGTCCGCGTGGCCTGCGCCCATGTACAGCCAGTGTGCCATTGTTTACAAGCCGGTGAGGACGATTCCACGTGTACATGCGATATATTTTGTATTATTCCATTGTTTTTAGTTCTTGTAACTGCTAAATAAGCCACCATGGGCCCAAAGAAAGTTTCTAGTGCCAGCCCTGTGATAAAGAAGGAAGGAAACAATAAAATTCAAGAAAATGCTCGTAGCAAAGTACCAAAGTGGAGGAGGAAGAGAGAGGGGAGAATATGCCTACTGCAATGATTCAGTGATTCTATGATATGTTCGATACTACAGCAGCAGGTATTGACAAAGGCTATAGTGCCAGCCAGCGATAAAGTGTAGAATTAACAGTGTAGCAAGTTAAGTAAGTGGTAGAGAAAAGACATGAAAGCAACTCTCCAATGTTGATGGATGTGTATCGGGCCAATGAACTTAACGCCGCCCTGCTACATATCTTCCACCACCCTAAACCTCTGCCAGCATCTCCTCCATCAAACTCACTAATTAAACTAACATCTCCTCCAAGGTAAGTGTAAATATAAAAGTGTAAGTGTAAAAGTAAATATAAGTGTAAATATAAAAGGACCCTAATGGAAATAAGTCACTCTGACTTTTCTGGGTTATCCTAGATACTTGACACATATGCTGCTATGTATGATAATCTATGTACATAACTGTATTTGTGTATACCTGTATGTACTTACTTATTTATAAATTAAAATGTAAATACTTATTTATAAATTAAAATGTAAATATTTCTTATTTATAAATTAGGTACATCTATTGTTTAATATATTTATAGATGGGGTTGTAAGAGAAGTAAATGCGAGGGTCTTGGCAAGAGGCGTGGAGTTAAAAGATAAAGAATCACACACAAAGTGGGAGTTGTCACAGCTGCTCTTTGCTGATGACACTGTGCTCTTGGGAGATTCTGAAGAGAAGTTGCAGAGATTGGTGGATGAATTTGGTAGGGTGTGCAAAAGAAGAAAATTAAAGGTGAATACAGGAAAGAGTAAGGTTATGAGGATAACAAAAAGATTAGGTGATGAAAGATTGGATATCAGTTTTGGAGGGAGAGAGTATGGAGGAGGTGAACGTATTCAGATATTTGGGAGTGGACGTGTCAGCAGATGGGTCTATGAAAGATGAGGTGAATCATAGAATTGATGAGAGAAAAAGAGTGAGTGGTGCACTTAGGAGTCTGTGGAGACAAAGAACTTTGTCCTTGGAGGCAAAGAGGGGAATGTATGAGAGTATAGTTTTACCAACGCTCTTATATGGGTGTGAAGCGTGGGTGATGAATGTTGCAGCGAGGAGAAGGCTGGAGGCAGTGGATATGTCATGTCTGAGGGCAATGTGTGGTGTGAATATTAATGCAGAGAATTCGTAGTTTGGGAAGTTAGGAGGAGGTGCGGGATTACAAAACTGTTGTCCAGAGGGCTGAGGAAGGGTTGTTGAGGTGGTTCGGACATGTAGAGAGAATGGAGCGAAATAGAATGACTTCAAGAGTGTATCAGTCTGTAGTGGAAGGAAGGCGGGGTAGGGGTCGGCCTAGGAAAGGTTGGAGGGAGGGGGTAAAGGAGGTTTTGTGTGCGAGGGGCTTGGACTTCCAGCAGGCATGCATGAGCGATGTTTGAGGAGTGAATGGAGACAATGGTTTTAATACTTGACGTGCTGTTGGAGTGTGAGCAAAGTAACATTTATGAAGGGGTTCAGGGAAACCGGCAGGCCGGACTTGAGTCCTGGAGATGGGAAGTACAGTGCCTGCACTCTGAAGGAGGGGTGTTAATGTTGCAGTTTAAAAACTGTAGTGTAAAGCACCCTTCTGGCAAGACAGTGATGGAGTGAATGATGGTGAAATTTTTTCTTTTTCGGGCCACCCTGCCTTGGTGGGAATCGGCCAGTGTGATAATAAAAAAATAATAATAATATTGTTTGTGGATAGTGGTGGTGGCAGAAGCCTCCTCCACCACTAATATGTACGGCTTCTCTCAGTGGCCTATATAAACCCAACACCACCACCTCCACCACTTACTCCTCACATACATTATGATATGTTTTATTCATTCTAGAGTATATATCATGTTTCTATGTTATTAATATTGTTTATTATGTCATATTAGATGAATTGTGATAGATAAATAAGCCGTAGAGTTGATAATAGTGTCATATTGAAGTACTATTCTGTCAAGCCTCCTGACAGCAAGAACAGATTAATTGGATTTCCATTATTTCTTATGGGGAAAATTAAATTGGATAACGATAAAATCGGTTAAGGGCAAGCTCTCTGGAATGGACTAATATTGTTAACTGAGGGTCCATTGTAATTCATCAAAACATACAAAAATACATGTTACCTTTCATTTGGTCAGGTGGTGGTTTGACAGAATGGGTAGCATGAAGCGACAAACCCTCAAAGAGCAAAACCCTGGATGCAGAACGAAGGGATTGGTCTAGCCGGAATCCATACTTTTCTTCTGCCTCAGTGTCTTTGACCAAATATTCCCAAGGATCTGCAAGGGATATAATACAAGTTAAAGTATAAATTCATTAAGGTCTTCTCACAATAACCTTATTTACATCTTCCAATAAATTTTACAACTGATGCATTGTTCCTCAACCTCATAATTCCTGGGAATCACTTCAGGCACAAATATTTGTGATCAAATTTGCATAATCCTTTCCTCATGCAGATGACGGTGACTAGCGGTAGTAGGGAAGCTGGAGGCAGTGGAGATGTTGTGTCAGACGGCAACATGTGGTGTGAAAATTATGCAGAGAATTCAAAGTTTGGAGTTCATCTTAAGTTAATTTTAAGCCTGCCCATAATGCTCTGCATACAATGGGCTTTTAGCATGTACACCTAATCACTATATTTCTTTGTACAACTATGTATCATGTCCAAATAAAAAATAAATAAATAAATAAATAAATAAATAAAAACTAGGAGAAGGTGTAGGGTTACTAGAGTATTTTCCAGAGGGCTGAGGAGAGGTTGTTAAGGTGGTTTGGACATTTAGAGAGGATGGCAAAAACAGGATGACTTGGAGGGTCTATATATATGTAATGGAAGGAGGGAGAGGCAGGGGTTGTCCTAGGAAAGGTTGGAGGGGGGGTGGTAAGGGAGGTTTCGTATGCAAGGGGGTTGGATGTCCAACAGGTGTGTTTGTGTGACAGCATGTTAGATAGGAGTGAAGGCAGGTGATTTTTATGATTTGATGTTGGAATGTGAGGAAAGTAACATTTATGAAGGGATTCAGGGAAACTTGTTAGCTGGACTTGAGTCCTGGAGGTGGGAAGTACAGTGCCTGCACTCTGAGGCACGGGTGGGGATATAACAGTTAGGCGGGGTATCACAGCTGAAGTGTCAATACACTTCTGGCAATACAGTGATTCAGTGAGTGATGGTGAAAGTGTTTCTTCTTTTTCAGGTCTCCCTCCCTTGGACAGAGAGGGAGAACAGTAAGAGGAAAGATTCAGGAGAGTAAATAGAAAGAGAAGAGAATGGTTGTGAGAAACTGAGGATGATACATAGAAAGAGGGAGGATAGTAGAGGAAAAGAGAAAGGACAACAGGGAATGAGAGGGAGGACAGTAGAGGAAAGGACAGGAGTGAAAAAGAGGAAGGACAATATAGGAAAAGAGAAAAGACAACAGAGGATGAGAGGGAGAACAGTAGAGGAAATGAGGGAGGACAGTAAAAGAAGAGAGAACAGCAGAGGAAAAGACAAAAGTAAAGGAAAAAGGGAGAGGACAGTAGAGGAAAGGAGAGAGGACAGTAGAAGAAAAGAGGGAGGAAAATAGAGGAAAAGAGGGAGGACAGTAGAGGAAAGAAGGAGACCAGAAGAGGAAAAAGGAGGACAGAAGAGAAAAAAAGGGAGGACAAAAGAGGAAAGGAGGGAGAACAGAAGAGGAAAGGAGGGAGAACAGAAGAGGAAAGGAGGGAGAACAGAAAAAGAAAGTTGGGAGAACAGAAGAGGAAAGGAGAAGGACCATAAAGGAAAAAAGAGGGTGGATAGTTGAGGAAAAAGAGGGAGGGCAGTAAAGGGAGGAGGAGGAGGGCAGTAAAGAAAAAAGAGGACAAAAGAGGATCTATCAGTATTTTATATTTCTGGCCTAAGAGAAAAATGCAGCAGAACTTTGGTAGTATATTGGAAACCTGTTGGATTGCTCATCCCCAAATGAAACCTTGAACAACTGGTTACATGTGTCTTGCTGAAGTCTCCGAAACAAGAACTGAATGAAAGGCACTACATGGTAGATAAAATCTATAAAAGTAACTGACAGGGTGATAGATCCTAGAAGTCCATTTAAATTGAAGGATGCGCCCTCAGTCTCTGGGCTACACTTCTGCATCATGCAGGAATGTAGGCCAGAATTCTTGGATTTGGTGCCACTCATAGTGACTCACTTGATTTCCCACGAGTAAGGTCTTTTGTGCCCAATACTGTATATGACCTCTTCGTGCATAGGGCTTTATTATGGAGTAATCAGCTATTGATTTTACTGGCCAGATCACCAATCTGCTTACTGACCTACGATTATTAGTTTAAATACCTTTTATTTATTTATTTTATGTCTTTGCAAACAGTACATTGAGATTTTGTATTTACAATAGTGGGTTGCAATGCAGAGAGAGCCTCTATTATGCCTAGGCATTATGGGCCAACTTAACATTACTGGCTTACAGACTAGTTAACACTATGGATTATATCAAAGTTGTACAGTAGGATAGTAATTATTTCATAGTTGTACAGTAGATTATTAATTATAAGTGAATCAAAATTTGTACAAGACAAAAGATATATTCATATAATCAAAAATGCTTTTTGTGAAAACAATGATTCAATTATATTCCTGTCAATAATGGATAAAAGGTTCAAAGTGATTGTTGAAGTTATGATGTGGGAGCACATAAGTGAGTATGTATGTACTGAGTATTTAGCGTTTAGTCTAGGGTGATTAAGTGGCTCTTGAGAAGTCTTAAATAGATTTTCAGACCGGGTTACTTTAATATCTTCTGGTAATGAATTTCATATTTTGGGGCCCTTTATGTGCATAGAGTTTTTACAGTGTGATATGGACACGAGGTATATCAAAAAGTGATCTGTGTCTTGTGTTGTGGTCATGTGTCCTGTTTAGGTTGGTGAGGAGAAGTTTGAGTGGAGGGTTTTTATTTGTATGTATTGTTCTGTGTATGTAGTAGGAACATGAATAAGTATGGATGTTCTTAATGGTGAGCAGATTCAGACTTTTGAAAATTGGTGGAGTATGCTGGTGGGAGTGGGAATTTGTTATCATTCTTACTGCTGCCTTTTTCTGGGTTATTAGGGGTTTTAGGTGATTGTATGTTGTTGATCCCCATGCACAAATTCCATATGTAAGATACGGGTATATGAGTGAATGGTACAGTGCTAGGAGAGCTGACTGTGGAACGTAGTACCTTATCTTTGATAGTATGCCTACAGTCTTGGAGATTTTCTTGGTGATTTGTTGTACGTGTGTCCGGAACTTAAGGCTACCATCAAGGTCGATACCTAGGAATTTTCCCCTCTGTGAGCCTTGTGACTGATGATCCGTTTAGTGTTATGTTAATTGGATCATTTGCAGCTTTGTTTCCAAACTGAATGAAATAAGTATTATCAGTATTCAGGGTAAGTTTATTAGTCATCATCCAGGCAGATATTTTCTGCAATTTGGCATTAAATGTGCTAGTATGACTGTTTAGATGGGAAAAGACATATGTAATGTCATCTGCAAATAATATGGGTTTGAGTAGCTGTGATGCATTCGGTAGATCATTGATGTAGATGAGAAAGAGGAGCGGTCCAAGGACACTTCCTTGTGGGACTCCTACTGTGATTGGTTGGGTGGAAGAGTTTGCATCATTTGCATACACATATTGAGTTCTGTTACTAAGGAATGATTTTAGGTAGTTGAGGGAGTGGCCTCTGATACCATAGTGCATTAATTTGGAGTACAGCAGTTCATGGTCGACTGTATCGAAGGCTTTACGTAAATCAATGAAAATGCCCAGCGGGACTTCTTTCTTTTCAAGTGCAGTATATATTAGTTCTAGCATGTGTATGATAGCATCATTTGTGCTTTTATTATTCCCGAATCCAAACTGACAAGGGTTTAATATGTTGTGTGAGACGAGGTAGGAATAGATCCAACTATGAATTAATTTTTCAAAGACTTTAGAGAGCAGTGGTAAGTTAGATATTGGTCTATAGTTACTCAAATCAGCTTGGTCGCCTCCTTTGTGGATCAGAGTGAACCTTGCTATTTTGAGGATTGTAGGGAAGGTAGATGATTCAATGGATTTGTTAACCCTTAACGGGTCCAAACAGATTGACGTTCAAATTCGTAGTGCTACAAAAGTAGATCTACTTTTTTTTACATATTTTCAAATATAACAAAAAAAAAATGTAGATAAAAGTTTTTTTTTACACGTTTTCACATGTAAAACAAAAAAAAAAGATCTACATTTTTTTACATACTTACAGATGTTGAAAAAACGTATATATACGTTTTTGTTGAAAATAAGAAAAAGTTTTGGAGTGAGATTAACAAGTTAAGAAAGCCTAGAGAACAAATGGATTTGTCAGTTAAAAATAGGAGAGGAGAGTTATTAAATGGAGAGTTAGAGGTATTGGGAAGATGGAGGGAATATTTTGAGGAATTGTTAAATGTTGATGAAGATAGGGAAGCTGTGATTTCGTGTATAGGGCAAGGAGGAATAACATCTTGTAGGAGTGAGGAAGAGCCAGTTGTGAGTGTGGGGGAAGTTCGTGAGGCAGTAGGTAAAATGAAAGGGGGTAAGGCAGCCGGGATTGATGGGATAAAGATAGAAATGTTAAAAGCAGGTGGGGATATAGTTTTGGAGTGGTTGGTGCAATTATTTAATAAATGTATGGAAGAGGGTAAGGTACCTAGGGATTGGCAGAGAGCATGCATAGTTCCTTTGTATAAAGGCAAAGGGGATAAAAGAGAGTGCAAAAATTATAGGGGGATAAGTCTGCTGAGTATACCTGGTAAAGTGTATGGTAGAGTTATTATTGAAAGAATTAAGAGTAAGACGGAGAATAGGATAGCAGATGAACAAGGAGGCTTTAGGAAAGGTAGGGGGTGTGTGGACCAGGTGTTTACAGTGAAACATATAAGTGAACAGTATTTAGATAAGGTTAAAGAGGTCTTTGTGGCATTTATGGATTTGGAAAAGGCGTATGACAGGGTGGATAGGGGGGCAATGTGGCAGATGTTGCAAGTGTATGGTGTAGGAGGTAGGTTACTGAAAGCAGTGAAGAGTTTTTACGAGGATAGTGAGGCTCAAGTTAGAGTATGTAGGAAAGAGGGAAATTATTTCCCAGTAAAAGTAGGCCTTAGACAAGGATGTGTGATGTCACCGTGATTGTTTAATATATTTATAGATGGGGTTGTTAAGAGAAGTAAATGCGAGGGTCTTGACAAGAGGCATGGAGTTAAAAGATAAAGAATCACACACAAAGTGG